CCCCTCGGTTTTATTTTGTATCAGTGGAAACCCCTTACTGCCTGGCAAGCTGGGGTGACTGGTCACCTTGCTTCAAGCAGGCAGAACACAAAGAAAGGACAGGGGTCTTCTCAGCCGGGAGCCTGGAGGAGTCTCACATCTTCACCTACATCACCAGAGGACTGGGTGGGGGTGAGGGAATTACTCCATCTCAGAGAAGCCTTTTGAATTATTGAAATTGCAGCTTATTATGGAGAAGAAAGAGAGTTTCTATTTCCTTGTAAGTGGCACAGGAGTAGAAAAATGATGGTGTAATGATGTTCCAGTGGAACAATTATTTTCCCGAGATGGAGTAAGGTAAAGTATCACTTTGATTACTCTCCGCCTTTATAAACCCCCACCCCAGGCTTAGCTCTGCAGCCAATAAATCTTCCAGCCTCCCTGACCTGTGGCTGCTGCTCCACAGGGACACACCGAGTGGTCCTCATCTGCCCGATGACCCCTGCTTCTCCTAACTGTGGTTTAAGATGACGAATTCAGGCCAGTGCCGAGGGCAGCTGTGACAGGAGACAGAGGCAGGGGGAAGGAGAGCCACTGACAGCTGGAACAGTGACCTTGGGCTGGAGGTGGAAGGCTGAGTGAGCGGGCAGGGAGAGCAGAGGGGAAGGAGCAGAGACAGAGGATTTCAAAGGCTGCCTTTGTAATGTTGCCTGGGGGAATGTCCCTGTGGAAGCAGGAGACTGTCCCTAAGTCTGCCTCATTGAAGTCCCCTTGGGCTGCCACAATAAAGTAGCACAGGCTGAGTCATCTAGGTTTAGAGCCCCAATGTCCCTGGAAGCATCAGGGGTGAGCTTTCAGGAGGTGACTGGACCATGAGGTGCTGGGCTCATCACCAATGAGTCCGCTGGTGACTTCCCTGCGGCAGGCGCCGTTCATGGTGCGCTGGGTTGGGGCAGGGTCACTGAGAGCAGGACCAGGAAGGTGGATTCTTGTCCTTCCCTCATGCCTTCCCTCCCTCTCTTGCTCTGTCTGTCTGTCTTTCCTGGCTGCCATGGGTTGAGTAGTTACCTCCACCATGCCATCTACCACGCTGCTTCTGCCTAGAGTCAGTTTAATTTTTCACAATTCTGAAGGCCAAAAGTTCAAGGTCAAGTCCCAGCCCGTGTGGTTCCTGGGGAGGTGTGGAGCTCTTGGGCAGCAGACAGCTGACCTCTCAGAGAGCACGCTCTGGCGCCTTTCTCTTCCTACCAGCCCTACTGGGTTAAGACTTTACTTTCATGACATATTTAGCTATTCCTCACAGGCCCTATCTTTTAATACATGAAACTGAGAAGAAAACAAACCTTTAGTCATAGCACCACCACCGTAGACTCAATCACTGTGTCCCGCTCCCCAGTTTGCATACGAAAAAGCCCAGTCACTGTTGTGGTGGGATCAGGCAACCAAGATTCTAGCAGTTGATCCGGTCAGGAGTATAGAGCCGGGGATTAGGGCCCTTATTAAGGAGCCTTAGGCTGCCCTCTGACCCTTTCCCTCAGGTGAGGTCTCAGGGAGCTGGGAAGCCAGCTCCCCACCTGCCAATACCCTGACCTGGGGCTTCCTGGCCTCTGGCACTAGAAGAAACAGGTTTCTGTTGTTGAAGCCATCCAGCCCATGCTAGTTTTAAGATGGTGCCTAACTGGAATTGCTCCTTTATGGGCTTCCTCGTGCTCCTTGGGCCCAGAGATTCTGGCTGAGATTCACTCCTTTTCAGCCTGATGGTGGTATCTTGTCCCCAGCCTCACCTGAGAGCTGGTTACAACCACCAAGTCCCAGGTGCCTTCTTGGTGCCTGTGTTGCTTGTCTGGTAGCAGGGTCCCCCCAAGCACCCAGCTCCTACCTGTCATGAATGCTGATTCTCTTTCTGCTGTGGGACCTGTTTGCTGTCACCGGGGTGCTTCAGGATCTAATGATTGTCAGCCTTCACAATCTTCTCCTCCTGCTCCTCCAAATCCATGAAGGTGGCCTTCTGGGAGGCCGGTCCCAGCTGCTGTGGTGTCCACTTGTGATCTCCCTAAGTACAGCCAGGGTGCCCGTGATGCCATCACCTGCGGATCATGCCCCCCCCCCCCCACTGCATCTCCAGGACCCACGCTGATTCCAGCCTGGCGGGACATTTCAGCTTTCATGCTCCCCCACCAGCCTGTGCTCCCAAAGCGAGTGCTTCTTTCTGGACAGACCATGTTTGGGATCTGCCAGAGCCCAGGTTGTTCTTAGGGTGATGCTGGCACCTGGAGGCGCAGCACCATGAGCTCCAAGTTTCTTTGGCCATCGAAGGATGAGCTGAATGGCTAGGCTGCCAAGTCCTGAGGATAAAGGACAGGTGGTGGGTTTTCATTGCATTGTTATCAATTATAGGGCTTCTTCCAGAGTGGCTGGCTGGGAATGAGGAGCATGAGGAAATCTGTAGTTTTTGTCCTAATTTGTTTGGTTTGGGGCTGGACCTCAAGCTCAGGAACCACAGTAATTAGCCCAGCTGCAGAATTGGGCAAATAGAGCACATGGCTGTCATGGCTCCAAGGGGCTGGGCTGGCACTCAAGCCACTGGCTCTAACAAGGGCTTTTGTCAGCTTGCGGGGCTGTGATTGCACTGGCAGTTGTGGGAGGAAGGATGGGGTTTTTGATTTCTCACCTCTCCTTCTTTAATCCCTTACCAGCCCTTTTGGTTTGAGGAGCTATCCCAATGCAAGCCTAGGGGAAGAGGTAGGGAGGGGCTCTTGGCATTAACAAGGCAGAGGAGGAGTAGGAGGAGGAGCACAGCCCCTGAGTGGCACGAAGGCATGCTTGATGGAGAGTCTGGGGTTTGGGGAGCAGGAGAGAGCAGGGAAGAAGGGGCACCGCAGCCACATGCAAATGCAAGCTGTGCAGAGGCCCAGAGCTCTGGGGAGAGAGTGTCTGCGATTTGCCAAGCCAACCAGAAAATTAAAAAGATGGCTCAACATGCATGCTGGAGCTCTGGGTGGGAGCAGGGCAGGAAAAAACCAGAGGAGTCAGAGGCCCTGAGCTTCCTGAGAGAGGCTTTGTGGAGCCACGGCAGGGCTGGGCTTCTTTCTGTGGTGAGGCTCAGCGGTTGGCTCTAGCAGTGCATTTGCAAGGCTGGTTACTGTAGCTATGAGCTGTGGAAGACACAGGCGAGGGTCTGTCCTCCAGGTCCCAGATGGCTCCCTACTTCCCACACCCTGCCAGAAGGGCTAGTGCACCTGGACTTCCCAAGTAGACAGGTAGAACCTGGGAGGAGGACTTGAGCTTCTGGGTTGTGGTGTCCAGTATCTTTGATATTTTGCTGACTGTAGTTCTTTGCTGGCTGTGGGAGAGAATAATGGTGGGAGGGATCCAGGAAAGGCCTCTGAAAAGAATTTTTTACTCATAAAAATGGATAAAGACTGGAAAAAAATGACTCAGGGCTGTTTCAGCAGTCTTGGATAGAAAGGCCAGCAGGGTGCAGCTTAGCTGGGCTTCCATTGAGCTGGGGAGGAGTCCTCAGCCTAAAACATGGGGTTCAGTGAGGAGCCCAAAGGCAGAAGCCATCTGGGTGGTGAGGACTCTTCTTTCAGCAAAACAGTCTTCTCTGCAGCACAAGAGGGCACCATGGTGAGGGCATCAGATGGGAGCAGACCTTGGGCCTCTGCCTATTTGGAACAAATACTCCTCCATCTCCACCATGAAGAGGTCCATGGCGCGCACTTCCTTCTCTTGTCAGGCAGACTGGAGGATGCTTTTCTGTTCCAAACCTGTGCAAGCCTGGAAATACCCACATGCTGAGCGATGGCTCAGCCAGAGACCACAGAGTCCCGGATCTGTGAGTCAGCACAGGAGCCAAACCCCAGCTTATATGGTGAGAAGGCTTGGAGGTGTTTCAGTCTCAGACTGAGCCTCCTGCAGGCGTACTGTAAGTCGAGGACAAGGACCGCTCTGTGTCAGTGGAGAGAGACCTGGTGTCTTTGGTTGGCACGATTTCATCTGCTATCTCTCTTGGTGCAGTTCCATCTGTTTTTCCTCTGTGGTGAACATTTGGGGATCACAATAATAGTGCTACAGTTTGGGTGTTGAGGGTCCCTCAAAGGTCTCCATGTGGAAAGCTTAGTCCCCAAAGTGGCATCACTGGGAGGGGGTGGAGCCTATCGGGGGGTCATAGGTCACTGAGGATGTGCCATCGAAGGGAATTGTGGGAGCTCTTCCTTTTTGCTTTCTGTTCATCATGTGAGCAGCTCTACATGACATTCCTGCCCTGCCACAGGCCAGTGCCATAGGACCAATCCATTGAGCATTGCAAGCTCCAAAACTGGAAATCAGAATAACTTCTTTAGAAACTGAACAGATGGGCATTGTTACAGTGAAGACAGCTGACTAATACAGGTGTCTGTTTTACTCACTGGTAGTCTTGGGGTTCTGAAACACACTAGGAAAACCCAAGCAAGTTAGTGAAGTGAATTTCTCTACAAAGTAGCACTGCTGAGTCCTCAGCTGGCTGCCGCAGACCCCTCTGCCTAGTTCCTTTCCCCTTTGGTCCCCTCTTCTTCACTTTCTATTACTCTTCTCTCTTTTCCTCCTTCCTCCTCTTGCTTTTTTCTCTCCTTCCTTCATTTCTTCTTCCTTTTTCTTTCATTTTCCTTCCTTTCTTTCCTTCTTCTTTTCTTTCATCCCTCAGTTTCTTTACTTTCTCTCATGACTTGACCTGGCCCTTGGTTGAACAGAGCTGTGTGCAGAGCTGTGTGGGGAGATGCATTTGTAGCATGCACTTTTAATAGGAAGCTCCCCCAAAGCCTAATTTTTTATGAAAATGTGAAGCTGGGGGCTCAGTGTGTGTTCTTTCTGTGGACCTTCCCAGGACCTACCTTGCTCTGGGCATTCTGAAAGAACCGAGTCAGATCTGTCCACGGGGTGGCTGAATAGGTCTGCCTCGATGTGAGGTCACTATGACCATACATCAGAGCCCATGTTCCTGCCAGACTTGCTGATTCTTAAAATTCCTTTATGACAGTAGAAGCCTTTCCAAGCCACTGTGAGAAATCAGCTTTATTTTCCTAATGTGACTGACTCTGGATATTGCAACTCTGCTCCCAGAAGACACATCAATCATAACAGCACTGTGAGAAAGTGCAGACAACTACAAGTGACCGCCTTTCGCAGAAGAGACTAATTTGTGGCATAGAAAATAATCACAGAGGAATTTTTGAAAAGGTGAGATCAGTGGGGTGGGGGAGGCAAATGTCAGCGTTCTAGTCATGATTTGGTTGAAACATCAACTTCTAGAAAATCTCTGAAAATTACTTTTTAGTTCTTCTGGCTGTCTATACCTTCTGTCTCGAGGCCTCCTGTCATGAAAAATAATCACTCCTGTGGATAATGAATGAACAGAGAATTTGCAAGATTTTTCATCCACCGACAGGTTTATCCCCCGTATGGGTGTGCAGCTGCAATGGTGCTTTAAGAGGACCCGGTCCCCGCCGTGCAGCCTCACCTGCGGAATGTAGCTGGTCTGTGGTGCACCCCAAGTCTCCCTCCCCTGGCTTCCCTGCTGGTCATATCCATGCACCTGTATAATCCTTTTCCCTGCAGGATGCAGACTTGATTCGGATGGAAGAGATAACACGCCCAGCCCCACACTCAAGCTGTGAAGAGATTGTGGTGTCCACATTGGCCGGCCATGCTCTCTCAATTGTTTCTTCACTTTCTTTTTCTTTCTCTTCTTCTGTCTTCCCAGCAGCTGTGTGTGAGGACTCTGAGCTGACGGAGGAGCCTGCAGCCCAGGAGTGGAGGCATTTATAACCAGGTGGCCTGCCCCTGGAACAGCCCCCAGGAGACCTCCTGCTTCCACGTCCTCTTCTCTTTTCCTCTGATTGTTGCCCTTCCTCCACCTCCTCCTGTTTTTTTCCTCCTCTTCTTCCTCTTCCTCCTGCTCCTCCTCTTTCTGTTTCTTCCTCTCCGCCTTCCTGGTGACCCTGAGCTGGGTAGCTTTGCTCTGTCATGCCCTCCCCGCCATGATGCCCTAACTTCATTACAGGCCTAAGGTCAGTTGGGTCAGCCAGTCCTGGGCTGGAACCTCTCAAGCCCAGTGAGCATTCCATCATTTAAGCAGTTTGTCTCGGGTATTTTGTCACAGGGAAAAGGTGATTATCAGCAGCCATCCTGCACATGGACACGGCACACAGCACATGTCCACCCTGCCCCGCTATCTAGTCTACACAGGAGAATGCAGCAGAGGTCAGCAGTGTGGAGACTCAGCCATCCTAGATTCTTGTCTCATGCAGGAGATGGTAAATCTTTGTTGTTTCAAATCACTGAGTTTTGGAGTCATTCGTTTTGTAGCATGGGTGACTACTACACCAAAATATCACCAATTCTTGATCTTTTCAGTGTCTTTGGACCACTCCATTCTCCACTGTCCCTATTTTTTTTTGTCTTTTTCCTTTTTATCGGTACCAGGAATTGAACTCACGACTGTCTGCTTGCAAGGCAGGTGCTTATGCCACTGAGCTAAATCTCCAGCCCCTCTACCATCCCTATTTATTGTACTCAAGAGTCCTGACTTTTTCTTCTACTTCCCTTAAACCTCTTCCTTTGGTTCTTCTTTTAGGTACCTCCTCTGTGTGCTTGGATTGAACATCAGGCCTTGCCCTCATCTTATTGTCTCTCCAGATGTGATGGTGCGGAGCTCTCTTTTGACTCGCAGGCTCTGTGCTGGAGAGACCCTCACTACCGTGGGGACACATTATGGTCTAGTGTCAGTAATGACCTCCAGAACCTATCCTGGGCCTTTCACCTGCCCCAGGTCTGACCCAACAGCAGGATCCAAAAGTAAGCTGATTTGCTAGAGCCGGAAAGCTTAACCAGACACTCTGGCAAGGCTTTCAGTGAAAGCTGAAATAACCTTCTTATCATGAGAAAATTCACTGGATTGTAGCTCCCAGCCCATTCTCATAGCCCCTATCAATCAGGGCTTTCCTGCATTTGTTAATGACGAATGGCAAATGGTTGGGCCATTACTTTGTAAAAACAAGATGCTGTATTCAGACATTTTTCTTTCCTCTCTCTTTCTTCTACCCCCACCTCACTTAATAGCTGTCATTCTTTAGGTCCAGGCAGCATTTCATTCACCGTTATCATTATTTTTGGAAGGTATATGTTAAAATGATCAGATCTGGGTTTCATTGCTGGGCTCTGGTGTCTTAAGGTAAACAGTCCCTGAAAGTAAGCAAGTGTTCAGCTACATCCTCTCAATCATCCCGGTCTCATGATAGTTCAGGCCTTGGAGTAAGTCGGAGGCCAGTCCCAGGCTGGGCAGGAAGACTGGAATTCAATTCACTAGATTGCCAACAGATACGGATGGCTCAAATTAAATCCAGTCTTTCTGTGTGGGTTGGAGAGCATCTGGCCTTGACTGGAAATTAGACATGACATTCCTCGCGTATTGTCACTAAGGAGATATTATACTAATAGATGAAATGTTTGGCGACAAGAGACAAGTGCTTTGCATTCAGGAGGGTCCTGGTACAAACGGGCTGAAAGGATGAGCTGAGACTGCTGGCGCTCCCTAGGCACCTGGGTGTTCCCCCCGCTTAATCTCACTGGATTACTTCATCTGTGACCGTACTTTAGCCATCATCCATCATCCTTCCTGGAGTGTTTTCTCTGGGCCATGATTTCTCTGGAGTCCTGGACCCACACATCTAGTAGCCATGGACACATGGCTTTGTCCCTAGGAACTGAGAATGCTTCAGGTCCAAGACTGGGCTTGCCATCTTTGCCCAGAGCTGCTCCTTCTTCCTTTTCTGGAAACCCTCTGCTTCACTCAGTCTGAAACCTGGGTCAGGTTTGCCTCCTACTTCTCCCTGACACTAGGCTGGTGGTCAGTCAGTGCATTTGGCTGTTCCTATGTTTTGCCTGTCTCTGAAAGTTGGTGCTTCGCTTATCCTCATGTCACCCTCTTGGGTGACACCCTCAAGGGTGGCCCGAGGCCAGGTCATCCTCTGCACTTGCAGATGGATGAAGACAAAGCAGTTGTGCTCGCAGGCTCTGTGCTGGAGAGACCCCTCACTGCTGTGGGGAACCTGCCCAGGCTGTGAGTGTGACCCTGTCTGTTGCACCTCTGTTGATCTGACCCCACTCCCCTCTCCAGTCTCATCACCTTTTTCCTATCACACACTTCGAGCTGTATGTTTCAGGCACAATGAACTGCTGAAAGCTACATTTTGTGGTTCGCTTGCTTGGAGCTCTCTCTCCTCAGGACTCAGCCTGTATGAACTCAGTACAGACACCACCTCCTCAGAGAAGCTTTCCTGCCCCGAGGCTGGGCCGGTATTCCCTGGTGTGTGCTTGGAGCCTGCTATTTTCACTCTGCCATGCAATCTTGCTTGCCTGCTTGGGAGCAGGGATGTCTGTGGTCCTTAGGGTTCAGGACCATGTCTACGCCCCAGGAAGGAATTAGTCAGAAAGTGACTGGCAGCCACAGGATGTGGAGAGTCTACGGAGGGGGAATGCCCACCTGCTGGATTCCAGTCCGTAACAGAACCTCCTGCAGCCCTGGCTCTTCCAGCAAGGAAAATCAGCTGGTAGAGTGTGGCCCAGAGCCTCAGGGTGCTGGCCGCAGTCCCCGACCCTCCTCTCACCGGGCTGGGCTCATGAGCATCTAAACCAGAGGCAGCTGGAAGCCTGACGTGTAGCAGGCGGCGCTGGTGTGAGGACCTGAGGCCGGTGTGTTAAGGGCTGCTTTGGTGAATGGCTGACGAACTTGCAGTTGTCCCCTGACCCCAGAAGCCTGGACCCAGGGCCATGAACTCATGCTTTCAAGAGCAGGGGGCTGACAGAGCAGACTTGATAAGAGCCTTGGTTGCCAGATATGATAATAATAGTCTCATTTATTAATATAAAAGCCCGTTAATAGAGGCGGCACTTTTAATTAGCCAACACGGCCACAATATTAATTTTTATCCAGAGTTATTTAAGTCCAGGAGGCTTCCTCCTCTCTTCTGTTAGCACTTAGCTGGAGGGCGATGGAGAACATTTGTAATTGGATTTCTGTGCAGGACTTAATTATAAGGAGACAATAAAGCCCCTGAAATGCGGCAGGTTCTACTCTGCTAACTATTATTTTCCAGAGACACACTTGGGCCAATGAATGCACAGATTTATCTAAATTATAATTTTTAAACTTAACAAAGCTTCCCCCCCCTCCCCCAGGTCTGCAGGAGGGCAGACTGCAAGGAGAGAGGCACAGAGGCGGATTCTCCATTCCTGTAATCGAGTCTCTCACTCCATGGGCCACTGCGCGGCTTCCTCAGGCCTCTTGGGATCTTGAAAGTGTATTTTCTTCCCTTGGCCAAATGGCTTATTAATAGAATTGGTTTATTTATATCTCGCCCAGAAAAGTCCCAATGTGATACAGCAACAGGGAGATATCGAGCCAATTAGTTGCTGGACTTGTTGTCGTGGGGGGAAATCTAGTTATTAATTTACTGCCCTTCATAGTGGCAGAATCAATTCAGAGGAAACCAGGAGAAAAAGCAAGAAAAGAGGCACAGGCTCAGAACACCTTCGAGCACTCAGAGAGGCAGAGCAAACCGCTGACCCCTTGGCTGGCTGAGAACCACAGGGAGCAGGGAGCCCGCAGCCACCTCTGTGTTGGTGACGTGGGTGTCGTGGAGCATCTAGGGCCTGTCTTTGTGCTTGCTTCTCATGACCACTCTGTGAAATGGCTTATTTCATACTGCTGTGTAGAAGAGGCTGGTGCATTTGTGTGTATGCTGTGTGCCGTGTCCCCTCCAGGTCAGGCTTTGGAGACACTGGTGGACGAGACAAACCCTATCCTCCTACAAGGTGCATGTGGCTCCATGTGACTTCCCAGGGCTGCTGGCCAGCTCTGACAGTGTCAAAGTCTGGGGAATGGCTTTGTCTGTCTTAAGGTGCTTGGCTTGGTGTGACTCCTATGACACGGATGCTGGGATTGGCCACCACTCTCCTGACCTCAAAGCCTGATGGACGGAAAGAGGTCAGTAGTGGGAATGAACAGTGTAGGGGCAGAGGAGCTTTTACTGTCTTCTGAGAGTGCCTGTGGGAGCGGAGGAACTCAGGGTGTGTATATACACTTTAAATTGTGGGTCAGGGAAGTAGTCAGAGGTAGAATGCAAAACTAGGGTTTGGAAGAAGTTGGTGTGGGAAACAGTAAGTAAGAAATAAAACACCTGCAATCCTACTGCCCCCTTCAAGTCGCACCATAACAAGCTGTGCACAGCTTTACATATCATTAAAATCTCTCTGAGGACATAATTTTAAGGAAAAAGGTAGTATCATGTCTTGTGGACATATTATAATTTATTACGTTTCCCATATTGTTAGATATTTAATTCATTTCTACTTATTAAAAATTATGTTAGAGAAAGAGACACATATGTCTGTCCTTATTTTTACTTGCTCAGAAGTGGAATTATCGCAACAAAAAGAATGTGTAGTTTACAGACTCGTGAGACGTCGCTGACTTCGGACTAGAACCCCTTACAGGTTTCCAGCACGCTAGCAGAGCAGAGAGAGGCCGTCCTCACGCTGTCCCTCCCCCCCAAGGCTCAGCGTCGGCTTTCACAAGAGTGTGCTAATTTGCCAGGGCAAAAACTCCATTTCATTGTGCCGTCTTCACACGTCAGCTACAGAGGAGCTCAAGCAGCGCCCTGCAGGTTTAAGCCATCATTTGTGTTTTTTCTGCAAATAGGCTATTCTTGCTCTTTGCACATTTTTGTTTTGGTTTTAGTGGTTTTTTTTATGTTTAAAAATGCTATTTCATATTCTGAGAATATTAACTTGTTGATGTTTTTGTTGCAGACATTTTGTCCAGGTTGACTTCACTGTTTATTTTTAGTTTCCATGATGTGTTTTTCTAGAGATGAATTTTTAAGCCACAAAATATATCAATTTTTTCTTCATGATTTTTTTCCAGTTGTCTTTAAGCTTAGAAAGTCCATCTCTGCACTGACATATACATACTAAGCATGTGTGTATTCTAAGTATCTCATGGCTTTATTTCTAAAATTTAACTTTAATTCATTCAAAATTCATTTTGTTCTCTGTAATATGGTGAGGATTTAAGTTGATTTTGCTCTTAAATAGTTAACTGCATATTCAAGCACTGTTTATTAAAGAATGGTTTCTTTCCCTGTTGGTTTAGATACTGCCTTTATCACATACTAAATTTTCTTAATATATGGTAGACTATTCTGAGCTATTTTATTGTTCGATTGGTTCTATTATAATCACACTGTTTTATCATTGTGTCTTTATTATTTTACATATTTTAAAATATGACACATTTGTATATGAAAATAATATTTTTAATATCTGGAAGAACAAATCTTTTCACAATTGCTCTGCTTTTAGGGAAAAACAAAAAGCTATTTCAGCTCATTCTTTTCCAGATAAATTTCAGAATTATGTTGTTTAGGTCTGGGAAACAAAGATCCCATTTGGGATTTTTGTGAGTGATTAAATTCAACATAGATCTTAATTTGTGAAGAATTGTATCTTTATACCATTATACAATCTTTCCATTCTAAGCAACGGCAATAACAGATTTTGTTTTCTTTTTACACTGATTTTTTTTCCAGGTTAACTCTTTGATCTAAATGGAATTGTAGTGTAAGTATGAGATGAGAAATAAAACTGATTTTTTTCCAGTTCCCTTTTCCTCCAAATCCTAGTTTTGTACACTTTCTTCAATGATTCCCAATTTTTTAAAAAATCGAGTCTATATATATTAGGACCTTTGAGATGTGCTCAAAGCATGCATTAAACGTCTGGATGAGAAACATATTACAGTGAAAGACACACTGCCATTAATCCCCCTCAATCCTCCTTCATGCCTCTGACACACTTACCTCATGTTCTTATCACTTTCTGAAGCTGTCCTGGAAGTCCTTCTGTATTAAGTGTCCTTCTGAGCTATGATCAAAGGCATGTGCATGTGCTGTGTGTGGGTGTCACCCACTGGAAAGGCAGCCTGGTCAAACCATTACAGGTGTCTTCATTCACCTTATCCACTGGATCTGTCACTGTGAGACTTCTAGGTCTTCTCCACAATCAAAATGACCCTGAAAAGTTATTGTTTATATCTAGATGTCACGCTCTTCGGTGGCATTGGGTCCTGGGGGTATCATAGCTGACTTGATGTCAGGAGGCGGAGTCTGCTGTGACCTGGGAGGGTGCATCTCTCTCCTGGGCTCCTCCCTTGACTCTGCTTTGCAGTGGTTGTGGGGTGAGTCGCTCTCCTCTGCCCGGGACCTTCCATCACTCTGCTGACCATGCGAGGATGGAAGCTTAAAATCTGCACCAAAATCACCCTCTGCTCCTTTAAACCATGGGGTTGGGCATAATGTCCCAGTGATGAGAATGTGACTAAGACAAAAGGTCAGTGCTGTGAATGGATTCAATATGGAGGGAGCCAGGACAGCACTACTAAAGATGCGGAAAGGACTCTGGAACTGCTTCAGAATGGGCAAGAGGCATGGGAGTGTTTGAACGAGGTGAGTTATTTTGAATGGGATTAATGACAGTGTGTCTTTTTTTGGCTTTTTCCTTTTTATCGGTACCGGGGATCGAACTCACGATTGCCTGCTTACAAGGCAGGCGCTTATGCTGCTGAGCTAAATCCCCAGCCCCCAACAGTGTGTCTTTTATCGCAATACATTTTGCAAAGTAATTATTTACTGTATTTTAAATCACACCTCCTATTTCCAGACTACCTGTTTGATCTCAGTGATCTGCTGTATTCTGTTGTCGATGTTCTTTAGTGCATCAACGGTGCTCAAACAGTGGTTTGATTATTAGTGCTTCTCTAGTACTAGCTGCAAGCACCATCCGTTTAAATAGCTCATGGAGTCCCTTCCTGGTTTCTTCCCTGCCAGGATTCATTTTCTGAAAGCAGTCAGCCTGAGGGTCAGCATCTCTAGTTAGATGCTTTTTAGTGGCTCAAGGTACTTACACAGGACTTCCAGTTTGAGTTTGGCAAACACCTGGGCAGGGAAACTGATTCCTGCTCTCCACCTCTCCCTTTCTCCCAGGTTAGCTGAGCCAGGTTTCCACCTGTGTGGTGTTCAGGCTCCACATTCTCCCAAGAAAGGAGTGACCAGAGAATTTGAGGGAGGTGGTATGGATGAGAACGGTCTTCTAAAGCCCTCTGCACGTCCCAGGTACTTGCTCTGTGCCAGGCTGTGTAAAGGACATTATTACATTCACTAGCTCTAATTTTTGCCATAACCACCTGGTAACCAGTTACTATATTTTCCACATTAGAAGAGTAGCCTGGGGGAGCTAGAAATTTGTAGACCATCACCCAACACTAAACAGCAAACCTGTGTTTCACCTGAGCGGGGTCTAACTCCCAAATCCATGGTTGCTACTTCTGGCTGGTGAATGACTCAGTCAGAGAAATACTTGAGGTCCCTCCCCAAGGATGCTTCTCACTGGCATTTATGTCATGGCTTATGTCAGTGGCCCCCAAGCCTCATGAATTACGGACTCAACCACATTTAGTGTTTGTGATTGGTTCATTGTGTAGCACTCGGATTGGTGGTGTGTTTGTGCCTTGTTGTTTGCGGTGGCCATGAATAGCTACCCTGCCAAGCCATGCTGCCTTGGAGCCAGCTATGTGTGGACTGAAACCTCCAAGAACTGTAAGAAATAAACCTTTCTTCCCTAACCTTGGGCACCAGGTATTTTGTCTCAGTGACAAGTAAAAAGTAACTAGGGCAATTTATCATCTCTGGTAAAACATTTTCAGCTCTTTGAGCTTTGAAGAGTCCAACTCCAGCTCTCCTGCTGAGAGGATCAGGGAAGCCATTCTGTGGACAGACAGATCTGGCTGAGATGACAGACCCAGATAGAATCTTAAAATAATATCATTCATTTATTGAGGAGCAACTAAAAAAAATCTAAATGTGCTTCTAATTTTGATCAATAAGCAACTGTGTACACTGTCACTTTTCTGCCTTATTACAGTGGATTCTCTTCTTTCCCACCTGAAGAGATTTTGCATTTGTGTACAGATGTATCGACATAGTTCCTTGTTTGATTTTCAGTGCCCTGTACTGCTCTGTCACGTAGATAATCCACAATTTAATAATTCTGAGTGTGGTCTGGGGTGTGCAAGGCAGGAACACACTGATAACAAAGGATTCCTATTTTATGGGGAGTTTTGTTTTGGGAGTCATGGGAGTGAAATTTGCAAATGATGACTTTTGAGCAGGCTTTGGATACAGATAGAGCCCTGGGCTTGGGGTCCACATGCCTGGATTCTGATCTTGATGTTTTCTGTTGTGTACCTGGTGTTTCTTTGTTTGATGTTTTTTTTTTTTTTTCTTGCTCTCAGATTTTAATTTTGCCATTCTAATAACCACACAAATCATGAAATGACACATGTGGAGGCAACCCGGAGGCCAGGCAACTTGCCTGATATCACCTTTGCCATCTGAGGAATCTGGGAAGCAGGTTGGTGTGGGTCTTGAGCACCCTCCTAAGAAGGCCTGGAATGGCCCTGTGTGGAACACTGTCACTCCTGCCCAGCCCAGCTTGGACCTATGAGGTCCTTTCCCCTCTGGACAGCTTGACAGGGACTGTATGCTGCAGCTATTGCTCTGCACGGCTGGAATGCAGGGCCTTGATGAGTGCACTTCCTAGAAGGGATCAGAAGGGCCAAGATGAACCAAGACACAGGCACATGGCGGGTCAGGATCACAAAGACAAGTGGGACTTTGAGCCCTAGGAAATCTGCCCTTGGAAGCTGCAAGTCAGGGGTCTGAGGGTACCAGGAGCTTCCCTAGGAAGAACTGCTGCATGGTGGGGGCTGTAACTCGGCTAACAGAACAATAGCAAGTCTGTGTTGCATTGAAGGGAACAGAGATAGAGGGAGACCAGTTGCCCAACACTAGAGGGACACAGTATGGGGAGAAGGGGAGGACGCAGAGGGACGAGGCAATTGTATCATAGTTCTCCAAGATCAGAATTTTCTAAGCACAAAGGTCAGAGAATATCGAAAGCAATGTTTTCACCAGAGCTCCTACACTGGGCCCCAGGTCCTGATCCTCCTGGTGCTTTCTCGTGATTCTGGTAAATACAATTTTAATTAGTGCAAGGACACACAGGGAAGAAGTGGATGGTGAAGGGAGCCTGGTACAGGAACGTCCCCATACACCCAGACAGGCCGGGGTGGGTGGGAAGGTGCTAATGTCCAGCCCCTCTGACATCAGGATTCAGGGCTGTGCTCTAGTCCTCCACCCCTGGCTTCCCAGATAGTGAAGCCATCCTTGTCCTTGAAGGTTTTCCTGAGGGTTGGGTGGGCAGAGAGGTAGGTAAGAGTGAAAAAAATCAGAAGGAAACAAGTTTAGTTCCCAGCATCCCTTGCCCTTGTGGAGGAGGGCGGAGTCTTTCTTTTCCTTTCTCTCTCTCTGGTTCCGAGATGGAAGTTGACCAGCTCAGCTCTCTTTTCATTAGTGGTCAGCTCTGAAACAGCAGTCTGCTCACTAAGGCAATGCAATCTCTTTTTACATAATCCACTTACTCTGGGAAGTTGAGGCAGGAGGATTGAAAATTCAGGGTGAGGAGGGTAATTTACAGACTTAGTGAGGGGGGATGTAGCTCAGTGTGAAGCCCCAGTATGCACCCATCCCATCAAAAATCATCTCTCAACTCTTCACTGAAAGGAAGCGATAGGTTTGCAATATAACAAGACCCAGGAGAGGTAAAGGTTAAATAAATCTCTAAACCTTCTGTGTTGGGCAGTCCTGGCCTCTGTGTAAATAGACATCATCTTCTGCTTCTGTCCTTCTTGCTCCTCAGGTTACACAGGTGAACTTTTCCTACTTCTTCCTGTCACTGTTTGATCCCAAGACCACGACCAGGCCTCTACCTGTTCCCTGCTCTCCTAGTTTAGCAGAGCACTTGTTGATCTCCTGTGGGTGAAAATAGTTATGTTGACTGAGTTTCACGGCCTCAGGAGCACATCAGGAGGTCTCTGGAGACCAGTCCCCGGGGTGGAGGTAGAGAGGACAAAGTCAGGTGGCTGAGACAAAGCAAGAGAGTCCAGGCAAGGAGGCTGCCCTGGCAGGCCACTAAGTCAGCAAAGCAGGCAGTGCTGCACAGGGTGCCTTTTGCTCTGTCAACTGGTGGCCACTTCTCTCTGCTCTTTGCTATTCCAGTCCCACCTTTTGCTGCTTGGTCCCTGTTTCGGCTCCTTGGGTGGCCCTTGTTCTCCTTACACCTGTGAATCCAATGCCACTGTCTGAACTTGGATTCTTGTCTGACCTTTGACACCTCTGTCCAACTGCTCTGCACCACAGCTGTGGTTCAGAGGTGCCTTGTCCAACAAGAAGACTACTGGACTCTCAGAACCAGGCAGGACCTTAGGGAGCCCATCAGCAGGGTTCCTTGGAGCCTTAGGGCTGCTCAAAGCTGCTCTGAAGGCCAGCATAGGGTGGTGGAATGAGGAGACTGGGCAGGAAAGGGCAACAGATAAGACGGCCTTGGCTCCCCATTTCTGTGCCCATCAGAGCAACCCTATTTGGATGTGGATTCTATAGGAACCTCCCTTCCTTGCTTCTCTCTCTCCCTTTTCTTCCTTCCTTCCTTCCTGCCTGCCTGCCTGCCTGCCTGCCTGCCTTCTTTTCCTCCCTCCATCCTCCCTTTTCCTCTTTCTTACTCTTTTTTTTTGCTGTCCTGGGACTGAGCTACCTCTCTAGCATTTTTAAATTTTTAAATTTTGATACAGGGTCTCACTAAGTTGCTAACTTACCTAGGTTGAGTTTGAACATTAGTTTTTCCTGCCTCAATCTCCCAGAGTGCTGGGATTAGAGGCTTGCCCTGCTTCTCTATGACATTTTTTTGATAAACCTTGTGAACAAAGGCTCTTTTCATAACCCTCAATTTATAAAGGAGAGATATGAGATTAAATAAGGAGAAAGGTTCTATCAAAGACTGGTTTTCTAGTAGATAAGGGCATTAGAGGGAGATATGCTCCCATTGGGGTGGATTCCTGAAGCCACAGGCTCAGGAGCACAACCTGACCTGCGTCTCTGAGTCTTGGTGTTTCTGTGCCTGCAGTCACTCTGGCTGAGAGAGAGAGAGACCTGAGGGACCAGGATACTTGGCCATTGCTGAATTAGGCTGGAACTCTGAGGATCCCTTGGCCATCCAGCCTTCTGCATTCAGCACTGCATGCTGGGACAGGCAAAGCACCTCTCTGAGTTCTGTGGTCACTAATGCCACAGCTTGGGGGGACCTGGGCTCAAATCCCAATAAAATTTCTAGGCTCCATATGGTTTTGAATTTGTTGTGTAATCTATCTGAGTTTCATCTCTAAAGTGAGAGCTAACAATACTCATGCTTCCCCAGGCTTTTCACAGAGGCCAGCAGATCACCTCTGTGAAGTGCTAACCACAGTACCAGCTACCCAGGAAATGCACCACACAGCCCCAGGTCATCCCCACCAGATGAGCATGGTGACCAGAGAGGTGTCAATAACCAGGAGGCCAGTGCTGGGACCCTTCCTCGTGCTTCACAGAAAGCAGAGGATGGAGAGTAAAGACCCTAGGACATGTTTTCAGACAATGGCCAAGAGGACTGTTATGGTTTATGTCTAGATGTTTCCCAAAGCCTCATGCAGGTGGGCTTCTAGAGTTGTGACTGATTCATGGTCTACTGCTAGGATTATGAGTGCTACACTCAGTTGGGTGTGATCTACATACAATATAAGGGACAGAAAGAGCCTTCTCGCTGTGTTCCCCTCTCTTTGCTCTTGTTGCTTGTGCTATTTTCCACTGACATGAACAGTTACCCTCAGCCATGAGCCACCCTGCCTTGGAGTCAGCTTACTATGCGCTGAAACTTCCACAAACTGTGAGCTAAATAAACCTTTTCTTCCTTAGCTTTGAGTGTTGGATTTTGTCCCAGCAATGAGAGAAAACTAACCAAGACAAGGACTGAGATTATAGGTTTCCTTTCTCCCTCCACATTCTCATCCTTCTCCCAGGGTAATGAAGCTGAAATAGAAACCTTAGGCTGCTCTGTGTTGGAGGGCAGCAGATGGTGCAGCCTCCAAGCAGCCACCATATAGGTTTCCTCTGAAAAAGCTCTTGTGACCTTCGGAGTCACCAACTGTCGGTGGTCAGCACAGGGGCTCCCTTTACACCTTCCCATTCCAAGCTCTTCTCCTGTGGAGTACTGTGGTTCTAGAAAAAGGAGGCCTCTAAAAAAATAGGGACCTGAAGTGAAAATCAGGGCCTGAGAAATGGAGCCAGATGAAAATGGAGAGCCTAGGAGAGATGTGACTGGGGGATTGAAAAGACTGGAAAACAGCACGGTTCCTGAGATGAAGCTATGGTCACATGTTTTGCTTTTCATCACTTTCTGATGTGTGCCTCTTGGGTAAGGCTCATAGGATATGGGCTGGGATAATATGGATGCTGACTAATTCAGGAGAAAATCCAGTAGAGAATGGCTTCTGACTTTGCCCACTGTTATTCCCTGTGGTAAACCCAAGAGTCATCCACTTCCCTGACCAGGAGTTGAAACCCTCTCTGGTCCTCTGTCACTCTAGGCCTTGAGTGCTCCCCACACTCTGTGGACAGCTCTCTTTTCTTCCTTGGTTGTCTAGCAAAGGTTAGGATCTTTCAAAAGCATTTTCTACTAGGAAACTAAGAGAGAAAGAAACTGGATGAGAAAGCACCCAAGTTATAGATCACAAGCACTGAGCTAAGTCTTAGTGTCTGATGAACAGATTGACTCATCTTCCTTCCCTCTGATGGCTGATTTTATGTGCAGTCGTGGTAGGGAACGGTGCCCAGTTGTTTGGTCAAACATCAGTCAGTCTAGATGGTTTGAGAAAGTATTTTTGTAGATGTGATTAACATTTAAATCAGCAGACTTTGAGTAAAGCAGATTACCCTCCATCATGTGGATGGATCTCATCCAACAGTGGAAAGTCTTAAAAGACTTGCCAAGAGAGAAGAAATTCTGCCTGCCTCCAGACTAAGACTGTAGCCCTAAGTCTGCTAGACATTCCAGCTTGCCAGCCTGCCCTTCGGATTTCAGACTTGCTAGCTCCCACAATTGCAGGATCCAATTCCATAAATAGTCTCTTCTCTCTTCTGTCCCTTTCTCTCCCTCTCTCCTTTTACACACACACACACACACACACACACACACACACACACACACACACACCTTGTTGGTTGATTGGTTCCCCTTCTCTGGAAAACCCTTGTTAATACCCTTAAGACTAAATGAGGATCAAGGTGCTCATACCCTTCCTGAAGGAGTGACAGGAATGTCTCTCTTTGACTCTGCTGAGTCTGCAGAGCATTCCATCCCATTTCCTTCTTTGCTTCCCTGGCTTCATGCTGGGAATGAGTCTCCCTGGATTTAAACTTTCTGCCTCCAGACTACCTGCCCATCAGTGACTCTGTCCCAGATATGAGTATAAGAGCAGAACTGTCCCCTGGTTCTCTGGGTCAGTGGACAACTTTCCTGCTAAACTCCATGCTTGCCGCTAAGATCTCATTCTGGTCAGCCTCTCAGGAGACATCAACCCTCACAGTGGCCAGCCAGGTCCTGTGAGTGGCCTTAGCATGTGGGTACTTGGCTTGATCCACTTCTACTAACTTCTATCTACCTGTAGCGGTTTTCCTGGCTGGTTCCTCATTGGTTTTGGGTAAACCTTGAGCCATCTCCTATTTTTGTGGGTCAAAATCTTGTCTTGCCTCCTAAGGACTTAACTCTTCGATACTAGATTTTATTTCTGAAACTATGTGCATTATTCAGCTTCTTTCAACAGCCAGATGTAGTCCTTCACCTCTTCCTGCCCCTGGCCCTGCTGGACAGCCTATGAAAAAGAATGCATGGCTAATTTTCTTGCTCTTTATTTATCTATTGTAATATTCACTGAATCCCTCACACACATTATCTTATTTAGCTCCTATGAAGCTTACTGATGCTTATTTGCTCCTCATTTTCTCTGTTTGAAAGTGGATGTGCAAAGAGGTTGTGTAACTTGCTCCATACTACACAGTGTGAGAATGAGCTGCAGCCTGTGCCAGTCTGAGTCCAGAGCCTGGGAGACATGAAACGTAGCCTGACGAAGGAGGCAGGCTGCGGACTAAAGATGATCCAGGCAGGGGTGTAAAATGAAGCCGAAAATGTGATGGGTATGATACAATGCCATGCAAAGTCCTGTGTGTGTGCTACGGCAGCCACAGGTTTGCATCAGACTCCCAGCAGCCGAAGCCGAAGGGGTGGACACTAGGTCCCTGGACTGCCTTCTCTCTATGCTTTCTTCCCGCATAGGTTTCCCCTCCACACCCAGAACCTCGATCTCTAGAATCCTGTTCTGCAGCTTGGCAACAAGTCTTTTGTCCTAGGAAAATGACCTTTAAATCCCTCCCAAGGAAAGGGGGGAGTCTTTCTCATGGTGCAAGAATTTGGTGTTGACATTAGCTTGTGAGATCGTAGGCAGCTGGAACATTAGGATTAGCCCTCACGCTATATACCTGACAGTGCCTGGTCTAGTGTCTTTTGCAGCAACTGGTGAACAGATGTGGGCTGCGTTGGACAAATGTGAATGTTAATGAGTGTTACTGTGCACTCTGCCGTCACGGCACCTGCTTGCTGCAAAAGAAGGGTCCACTTCTGGGGAGGACTTCTGGGGTGTGAACCTGTCCCAGAGCCAAGGAAAGGGAGCATTGTATAGTGGGAAGCTGCGGGAGCCAAATTCTGAACTTAGACATCCGTGGCACTAGCACTGAGGAACCATGTTCTCTTTTAGCAAATCCCTCAAGTTCTCTGAACTTCAGACTAAAGGGAAAAGGAGGGATCTGGTCATATGAGCATGAGCTGCCCATAGGAGAGGATCTCCAGGGCCTGGGATCTGGAGGTGATTCTCAAGTTCCATTCATTCAACAGCTCATCCATACTCAGTGTAGTTACTGAGCAGCTGCCATGGGCTGGGCCCTGCATTGTCCCGGAGACACAGCAAAGAACAGCACAAATAGGTATCTGGTGGGTTCTTTCCTCCTCTCCTTCCCCCCCCCCCAGGCTCCTGAAAACAGGGATGTCCCCAGTCCAACTGAGGCAAGATCAGCTGGGGGAAACTCAGGTAGAAAGACCCCAATGACCTCCCCTCTCCAGGTTTCCCTGGGTCTCAGCTGGCTCCTTTTGCAAAGCTGGGGACCAGGTCAGGCGCAACCCTGTCCTGCATGGTATTTCATGCCAGGTGTCACAGGGTCGCATTATTGCTTTTGCTGAGAGACAATTACATCAATTTCTCCACAGTAGAGTAGTGCTTCTTCTGGTTCAGGCTTGCATTTCCAACAGAAGAAGAGGTGATTTAATGTCAGTCAAAGGGAGCACATGGCTGGCATCTGCTGTACCACTAGGGCACACACTAATCCCACGCAGGCTCAGCCTGCTGCTCTGCATGCATGCTCTGCTCACTCTTAGAATCTGTATGTATCCCTGCTCTCCCTTTGGGAAGAGTGTGTGTGTGTAGGGCGTGCACTCATATGAGAATGGGGGACGTGTGGGTATCATAAATTTGGAGGCTGCTAGGTAGGGACCGAAGCATTTTCCCGACTGTTTCTCAGCACTGGCGCACATGTCGGGTCTCCAGAGCACACTTTTTCTCATCTGTATTTTCCCCATGCACTGCCCCGTGCTCATGTGTGAACAGGGCCTCCTTCCTCAGACTGAGGGCTGTGTTTCTGCTCCCTTCTCCTGCAGCAGCTTTTCCTTTGGGTTGGGTACCTGGACTCAGAAAGCCTCCTAAGGGAGGGAAGAATAGTGTCTTGTGTGTGATTGGCTCAGATGTCCTAGTGGGTCCTTGAGTTGTTCCTGTCTGTTTTCTATTTGTCCTGTCTATTGGCATTTCAGGATGGAAAATAGGAGCGGAAGTGCAGAAGGGCGGAGACAAGCATCCTTGGTGGAGGGCGCCACAGGTTGGGAGTCATGTGATCACATTGCTACCTGGAAGCCTCCTTGCAGAGCTGTGAAACATTTGCCTCTAGACTCTGTCTCCTCTCCTGGACAGGGCTGGTCCGCTGTGTTCTCCTGTTGCAACTGGGAATACCCACTGCCTCGTATCTTTCCCTCAACGGAAAATAAAGAAAATATAAAGTAAAACACAAAAACAAAAAACAAAAACCCCTGAAGACTTAAGTCTGCGCTGCTTCCCAGTGCCTAGCTGCCGTGTTTCCTTCTCAGAACCCTTAAGACTGCACACTCTGAAGTGATTGCAACAGCTGCAGCCCTGCCTTCCCATCTCCCATTCCATCCCCAGCATTCACCACATAGTTCCAGGCCAGGCATGCTTACAGAAGGATTTACACAAACAAATGCGTGTGCTTTCTGGAAAGAGCCAGGGGTGATGTCCTCCCTTAGGCCTGGGAAAGGGCCTCAACTCCTAGACTGTAGCAGTGGCCTCCATTGGAGAGCTGTAATCTGGGGTCCTGGGGCCAGGGGGCAGTGTTCACCCACGGGTTTGGCCACAGCAGAGCATGTGAGTGTGTGAGTGCACACGCGTGCGGGTGTCCTGATGCTGACTGAACATTAATAAGCTCTGGCTCCAGAAAGAATTCTAGAACTCCCTCAAAACAACTTAGCTCATCTTTCTGTGAGTACCTCACTTTTAAATAGGTCTGTGAGTTATTCTGCATAGATGCTGCCAAAAAACTCCATTTATTTGAAGATTTAAGATTTCTTTTTATCCAGTAAACTTTATTTATATATAACAACAGTACAAATTGTGTCCTTGGCTTGCAAAATAGGAGTGTTTCATATTTACAATAGGTACAGGATAATATATTAGAATAACAAAAAAACCCATTTTTTGGAACAATTTAAATAATTTTCTTATTATTCCACAACACCTAAAAAAACAACAAAACCAGACAACCATCATTGTATTTTCTTAAAAATAGATATGATACAGATTCCAGTGTGTCAAGGGGGTTGGGTTTGCATGGGAAGTGTTTGGGGAGAGGTGGGTGGGCTTGTGTTGCAAAGAGCGTGTCACTTCTTCCCCTGGACCTCAGTGACATCTGTCCCATGTGGTGGAGACCACGTTGCATGATGCTGCCCACTGCGGATGCTGCTAGGGATGTCAGATTCGCTCAACGTGCAGGCTGACCGAGCTCTCAGAGCAGCTTCCCCCCTTCCTGCGGTGGAGGTGGGAGAGCCGGAGCACTGCAGAAAGGGTGCAGGGAGGGAGACTTTGTAGGAAGAAAATGGGAAGGGGAATCCAGGAGAAGCTGAGGACTCCCAGGTTCCTTATTGGGCAGAGGAGCTGTCGTCTTGATCATCATGATCGCCTCACAAGACATCACCTAAAACCAGTAAGAGGGGAACACTATCCTCCATTCATGGGCTTTGGGCAGCTTCACTCTGGGGAAGCTGGAAGGAAGGTTGCAGACAGGGAAGTGAGACTGCAGGGTTCAGGCAAGGCTGCTGTTCCGGAGAGAGGCCCCTGAGATTCTGAACTTCATCTCCTAAGTGCCCTAGCCCCAAGGGCTCTGCTCCCACGGCCCTGTGTCTCGACGGCTGCTGTGCGTCTTCTTCTCCACACTGTTGCAGCATGTCATTCTTCCTTGTCTGTGTCCATGGCACAGCATGGCTGGGAGAGGGCCCTCCACAGGAGGGCTGCCAGCCCAGTGTCTCCAGGCAGCAGGTGATGGCACAGCCCCGGCCGTGATCAGGCTGGGTTTCCCAACAGGCACCGCTAGTTTGGCCCCGACTGCCCCCAGTCTACATGCCCACCAGCGCCTCTTCATTCTCGGTGGGGCTGGAGCCTTGATGGCTATGCTTGTCCCCATTGCTGGAGCTGGGAAAAGGTCAGGAGCTGAAGCAGCAGAGGCAGTGCCACCTGAACAGTAGGCAGCGGTGGAATGAGAGTAACTCTCCTGGCTGGGGGACCTCCCCAGGAGAAGGTAAGGCAGCTGGGTGGGTCGACTTACCTTCTTTACTGCACCCCTTTTGTGTAACGGGAACCTCTGTTGGTGGAGGAGGGAGGACTGTGTCTGCTGCATCGGTGGCAAGAACCAGCAGCCTGGAGAACAGACATACTCTTAGAAGGGCCCTCTCGTTCATCACGTTTCCAGCACCTTGGAGATAGCTGCTGCTCAAGAAGATCCTCTAAAGGAGAAGATGCAGGAAACAGCTCTTTCCTTCCAGGGACGTTTTAGTAACACATTCATGCTGTTAATGTCTCAGCGATGTTAGGAGAGATCAAAAGTGACTTTGAGAGCCACGCTATGGAAAGAGGTAGAAGGAGGATGGTTGACACCGAAGCACCCGCTCCACGCAGAGCACAGGGTCCAGCTGGGCTCCACATCTTGTCCTCTGGCATCATCTATCTTCCAGCCCCTGCTGGAGTTCTATTCTCTCCCCAGAGAGCTGCCTCTTCTGTGGCTCAGTGGAACAAACAGCTGGAGAAGACACGGGAGAGATTTCCTGCCTCCCTGCAGGAGGGACGGCTTCTGGGGAGGGACTGTGGCTTTAACATGTCTTTACACAGGCCAAATAGCCTCAAATTGGATAATAGCAAGAAGACAGCACAACAAACTCTGTCTCCTCCGCATTCTACAGGGAGTTTTCGTGGGTTCTTGCTGTGTGCAAGCAAAGAGTTGGCAGAGGATGGGTAAGTAGAAAGCTAGAATGAGGGGCCAGCCACTTCTGCTGTCCTCTTGACCTGGCCTCAGTCCAACTGTGTTTTCCTTTGTCTTTTTTTCTGCAGGGATGTCCCTCCGCCACTTCCTTTGCCAGTTTAAGTGCCCCAGCTCTCTCATGGAATCTGGAGGAATGTGGCCAGACCACCCAGGGCCACTTTGGCTCCTTTTCTCTCCATTTCCACTCTCCATCCCCCATCATCCTCCAGGGAGGCCTCCCCAGGAGCAGTGCGTGGTCACCCAAGTAGCTGTTGGGAGACCCTAGGTAAATCCATGGAAGCCAGGGCCAGGTGGCACTGAAAGAAGCGTGGGCCTATCTCTTACTTCTTTCTTGGCAAACAGAGCCTTGGATGCCGGCCTGAGCAGCGATGTGATCAGGAAACTTTCATTCAGCTGAGCTCAGAAATAAGTGAGGGTGGGCTGGAATTTCCATGGGTAGCGCAAAGTCGAAACTCACATCCTTCTGGCCCTATCACTTCTTTTATTTCCATAAATTATGGGCTCAGAGCTGATAAGCTGTGGGTGCCATGAAGAGCCAACACTTTGGCTTAGTACAGAGGGCCTGTCATTAGTATTTCTTTCATGCTATTAACAGAGCCCCAAGAACTTTCACAGAAGTAAATTATCAGAAGAAAGTGGCCTTGGCATGGCTGGTTGTGAATTATAATGAAAACAGCAAGTTTCCTGAGTATTTTGCTGAATGCTTTTCTCTTCCCATTTTCCAGCTGCATTCAGGCAAGAAACCAGCGCTGAAGAAACTAGGCAGTCTGCTGTGCGGTTAGACAGTTGTCTAAAACCGTGGACCCAGAGGTAAACCGGTCTCCCAAGTGCCCTTTCCCAGCCCTTTCTTGGGAATCCTATGTGATCGGGAAGCGGTTGGAAACTGGAATTGCCTGGAGGCACAGCCGGGCACAAAGAAGCTGGGGCCCAGAGTTCCTTGCAGAGGAAATGACCCTGGCCTAGTCTCTCGTGGGGTTGCTGGTCTCGTTTCCCAGCACTGCGGCTGAGATTCTTGAACCCTAAGAGAAGCAGAAGGTGGAAGGGGAAGACTGTCCCCTTTTGCCACACTCACTCTGCCCCTTTGTCTTTCTTGGCCCTCCTATCACAGGGCTGCTTGCAGAGAAACCGGAGCCAATTGCTTGATTCCAAGCCAAGGATGGAGGCAGGGACTTCCTGATGGACGTCCTTTTACAGCATTCCACTGCCACCAGAGCTGTCCTCCTTTGGTTAACTCCATCAGCTTCTTGGGGGCTTCTGGAGCTTTGGTCTCTTTGTTTGGAAACTACACTCAGGAGAACTGGTGATTCATGGTTTTAGGAGTTAGCAGGAGAGAGAAGGAAAGCAGCCTGATAATATGTCCACTTGTCCCTTGTCCTTCTAACCCGCAGGTCCACGACAGGCAGAAGAGGACAGTGACGTGGGTACGGGGCAGTCAAGTCTGCCAAGGCAAGTGTGGTCTGCCCAGTGGTCAGGAGCATGGGGTGTGAGTGAAGGGTTGTCTCCCCTCTCCAGGCACGAGAGAATGAAAGAAAATATAACAATAAATACTGCAGCTTCTTAACCCTACACTCTTCAAGTATTGCTTGCTGTAAACAGTGTTTGAGTTTTGTTTTCCTTTTATTTGCCAGGAACCAGGGCATGACTGGAATGGAATCCAAAGCCAAATGTCTTTGTCACCAACTCAACCCCCAGGGGACCTCCTGGAGGCCAGGCGGACACACTCCAGGCTGTTCCCCCAGAGTCCCTGCTTCAGGACAGGACTGAATAGGGGTGGAGCTGCTGGTTGTCCTTGGGAAAGCAAGGGATCTGGTCTGGGAGAGGCTCACCTCTCCTACTTGCCAATTCACTTTAGGGAAACCAAAAAGGAAAAGTATCAAAGGCCAGCTCCTCCTTCGTTGAGGTTTGGGATTAAATAAAACAGCAGCAGAAAGCACTGGTGCGCTATTGATAGCCCTTCTCTGTGGAGATGAGAATGGACAGGTGTGTGGGGACCAATCGTAAGTCCCTGCCAGCCAGGCACAGCTACTTGATGGCTTTGCACTGTGTGCCCGGTTCCAGGCGGCCACGCTCTCCCAGCAGCCAGGAGCTCCGGGCTGACTGGCGTTTGCGACGTGTTTGGTGTGGACACTGTGCTCATTCATCTCCTGCTGCTGCTTTTTTTGTTTTCTCCTTGTCCAAGGGAAAGGAGGCCTCTTCTTCCCTTTCGGCTCCTGCTTGGATCTCTCCTTGGCTCTTCCTGACATTTGGAAAGAGGACTTACACAGGGAGGGGAGGTGATAGGGACTAGAAGGAAGGAGTGGAAATCAGAGTTAAACAAAAGTTGGACGGGATTAACAGGACGGCTTTTTGTTTTGTTTTATTTCTTTTTTTCCTTTTTCTTAAAAAAATTAAATAAAGTTCTCATTATTTCCCCAATATACATCAAAGGAGTTTCATGCAAAGCAGCAGTCACAGAGGCCGGCCCATGGAGCACGAGCCTCTCAGCTTGAAGGGCCACCATTTCCTTGTCCTGTGGCGTCCCTAGATGTCGCCGCCTAGGATGACGCCTGCTGTCCTACTCACAGGCACTGGCTGTGAGGAAACCTGGCTAGCGTCAGGGGAGGGGCCTCCCCTTTCCCCTGGACAGGGCCTCAGGGGCAGCAAGCTCCGGGCTGGTCCCCTGCACTTGTCTTTCCTTCCGAGACTCCAGCGTGCCGGCGTGGACGGGTCCCTCTTCCCAGGAATGCAGGCCTCCTTTCAGCTCTCGAGGGACATGGCGCTGATGAGCTGTTCTACCTTGTAGGCCAGCCGCTGTCGCCGGGCCTGCTCGTCCTGCTCCAGCGCCCCGATGAGCTGAGGGACAGAGTGAAGGGGTGACTGCAGGGCCAGGCACCTGTGGAGCCCTGCACCCCCTCTGGCTACTTTTTCATTCTGCCTTGAACACAACCATCAGTAACTGAAACGATTGTTTGCCTGAGTACATTTAATTAGCACACAGTCATGCATTGCTTAACAATGAGGGCACTTTCTGAGAAATGGGTGGCTGGATGATTTTGGCATCACATGAATTCAAAGTTAAATTGAGGGCAAGAGAAAATGACATCATCAAGAAGCACAGTAGACGAGATATGTGAGCCTGGTAGTAGCCGGTATCACAGATGCAGTACCCTGTTCGACAGTCAGCTGTTTGGTTTTGTAAGCAGAGAGAATATATTCCAAAATGATGATAAATAGTCTAGTACAGTAAAGACCTAAGCCAGTCACTGTTCTTTATTACCAGGTATTATTCCTGCAGCCAACTGCATGTGTTACACTACCTTTTATAGACGGGCTGCCAGAAGAGAAGAGGGCTTTACCTCACTGTGAATGTGAGCAAAGCCCTGCACTAGGACAGTAAGATGGCTATGAAGTCACAGAGGAATATTTCAGTCCTCAGGAGGCCACTACAGGTGTATGGTGTGTTGGTGACTAATATGTCATGTTTATATATGCATACATCTAAATACATGTATGTATGTTTATATATACGCATATATATAGATATATACATCAATTGTTTAAAACAGTATTGGCAGATAGGAAGCACTATGTGTTAGCTATTATTATTACTACTATTTCTACCATCAGGCTCACTGTAATACGTGACTTATCAGTTTCTGAAAGCTGCCCTGTTTAGCCTTTCTTTGTGTTAAGGTCCATCTGCCTATCTGAAATGTGACAGATAACATCTGCCCAAGTGCAGAAAAATAGTGGGACCTATCCTTTCAGAAAGAATGAAATTAGTTATTGTTGTGGTTTGTGTCTAGATGTTCCCTCAAAGCCTCATGTGGTCATAGGTGGGACTTTTTCAGAGGTGGCTGAATCTAGTGTGATTGATTCATGGTACAATGCCAGGATTTAAGAGTGTGTGATTACTAAGTCAATCCACTGAATAGTTTGGTACTGCTCTAATCACAGCAGCCTGGACACAATGTAAGGGACAGAAAGAGACTTGTCTTGTCCCTCTTGCTTGCTTTGCTCTCTTCTTCCCCTCATATACTGTTTCTGTGTGTTAGAGTCACCTGATGCTACACTGAAACTTCTACAAACTGTGAGCTAAATACCCTTTAACTTTGGGTGTTGGGTATTGTGTCTCAGCAATGAAAGAAAAGTAAGTAAAACAATAATACAGTGCTCTGAATTGAGAAACAATTAAATTATTAAAAGTGTTATTTAAAGTGTTAGCAATGGATGAAGGAGACAATGATGCATGAGAAAGCAGTCCATGAATCAGGGAGAGGTCAGGCTGCCTTACAATGGAATGATAAGGATTTTGGGCTCATGGGCTTTTGACTGCATGAATTGGTTTTCTAAGTCAGACTCCAGGATGCTACTGAGGACTGGGCAGCATGTTCTCTGTGGTGCCATGGCTCCCCACAAGCTGCCCTGCCCTAGGGTGGCACCACTTACCTCCTCACTGTACTTGCTGACGTAGGAGTAGATCTCGTTGAGGGCGCTCAGCATGTTGAACTCCACGGCGTGCAGGCGGGACTGCTCTGCGAGGTAGGCATTCATGTCCTGGTCGCTGATGGCAGGGAGTTTGGCGATATCTGCATAGTATCTGTCGCACACAGGATAAGGCCCTTGATGAGGACTCAGCAAGGGTTTGCCTGCCTCTCCCCTGGCTCCAGCCCCTGGACAGCGTGGTTTCTCTTGCCCTCCCGTTTCTCTTCCGTGGGGCTCTTGCCTCAAGTTGAAGACCAGGGTTTCTTCAGGAGGCTCCATACAGCTTCGAGCTCAGGCTGCAGTGCCTGGCAGTATGTTTAGAGTCCAGGCTCTGGCCAGACTCCTTGTATTCAAACCCCATCTCTGCCACTTGCTAGCATGTGACCTTGGGCCAGATATGGTCATTGTCCCCATTAGTAAAATGGGAAGAATAACAGCCACTCCACTACTTCACTGGACTGTGTGCACATGTGTGTGCATATGTGGGTGTCTGTGAATCCAGGTCTTGCACACAGAGCCACACCCCAAGCTCTTATTTATTTTTTTAAATTTGGACACAAGGGCTCATGTTAAGTTGCTCAAGTTAAGCACGAAATTGTCATCCCCTTGACCCAGGCTCTCAGTTCTGGGATCACAGATATGCACCACCATGCTTAGCTGCCACTGGAGATTTTAATGAGATGGCACACACACAGTCCTTATCACAGTGTGGATTGCTCAGCTTATGCTTAATATGTGGAACCTGAAGAATAATCATCGGGCTTCCACGGCACAGACACACCCACCCTCCCCTCAGAGCAGAAGGCCTGGATGAGGAAGAAGGAGAAGAGCGTGAGGTTCCCAAGGAACCACGCCCCAGTCCTCAATCTGGGACACGTGCTGGGTGCGGTGTTGCAGGGAGTGTACCCGGCCATGCTGTGTGCTGCCCACCTCTCCACCCAGTTCTTGTAGCTGGGGATGTCCTTGGCGTAGAGCAGCTTGTTGGAGGGCGAGTCTTTTCCCAGCCGGTGCTCCGATGTGGAGCAGGAGTCCATGAAGGTCTGGGCCACCACCGACAGGCAGGCATCTGTGATGCTACCCTTGTGGATGTCGAACACAAACTGTGGGTTCTTAATGACGTTCACCCAGAAGCGCAGAGGGAGACTGCAGGAAGAGGCAGAGTACCCTAAGAATGACATCTTGCCCTGCCCTTGTGTGTCTTGCCAGTATTCCTGCCCAGTCTCACAATCACAGAAAATAACTGTCCTTGCAGCCCTCACTGGCTGTGCAATACTGACTCTGGGAGAGGAGAGGGGCCTTGTAACTCCATGGGGTGCTGACCTGTTCCCTAACAATGGAGGAGTGGGCATGGCTGGACATGGCTGGACTCACCACCGCCTGCAGGCTTTTCTAAGGCCTTGCTGCCCCAAGGGAAGCCTGAGTACAGAGGACAACACAGTTTTCTCAGAGTTGCAGACAAAGCCTCCAGGCTCCTGAAGTCCCCCTCCAGTGTTCATGGCCATTGTCGGGAAGGAGGCCGCCGGCAGCCCCAGGCACTGCCTCAGAGCAGGCACAAAGAGCGCCACCTGCCCTCTCCGCCCAGCCCGGCTGCCAGAGCTGCTTCCCAGGGCTGGCCCTGCCCAGCTGGGCCAGGAACGGGCTCCCCTGGGGCCAGCTCTTTCAGGACTCTCCCCAGGACTTTCTTGTGTCTGGACAGGGGCAGAGGGAGGAGGGCAGGCCATTGTGGGCACCCTGGGAATGGTTCTCTGTAGCTCTGCAGTTTTCCCACCCCAAGAGGAACCACCAGTAGTTAGGAGACTTCCTTTGGCAACTCGGGAATTTTTAAGCAGAAGGAAAGGGGCTTTTTCTGTCCCTGAGACCATAAGGGGGAAAAGCCCATTTACCCTCCTTCAAAATCCGAACAGCTGCCATTTCCCTCCTTCCCTGTTCTGACTGCTTTTCCAGCTGCCTTTGGGCCTTAACTCTTTGGTGCCTCTGAGTAGTGACCCTCTTCCCCAGGCATGTGCCTCAGCCCTGATGTGGTTCTCTACTTCTTTGTTGTCCCTTGACTCTCTCGCATTCCCGGCATCCCCAAATGTCTTTGCAGTGCCAGGTCTTGGGAAAGGGTGCTGTGGACCACCCTGAGCTGCCCATTATGATTTCTGTTTGTCCTGCCATCTGCAGAAACTTGCTCACTTTCCCATGACTTGAAAGGAGCTGCCCCTGCTGAGAGCTTTGCATCTCTCTGGTCCTCCTCTTCCTGGCAGCTTTGGGGACTTGTGATCATCTTCCTTGGACCAACTCAGGACCAGGACACTGCCCACAGCAACAAAAGGGGGTCCATCTCCGTTGCTTGGGTCTGGCCAGCCCACAGAAGGCATGGGACAGGGTAATTCAGAACTTTCTCTGGATTTTCTCCAAACTGCCCATGCCCAATACTGGGCTGATGATCCCTTGCCGAAGCAGATAGCTGTGATCCTGCTGCTGCAATGCCAAGGGAAGACCTGCCTGGTCATCCTGTACCATGGCCCCCCAGCCTTTTTGCTTTTGCTGTAGAAGTAGGAGGATCAGTGACCACAAAACCCTGTAGAAGCCAGGAGTAGAAGGGGTCAGGGTTGGTGCCTTCCAAACTGTTTTGTTGGTTGCTAGGACTTTTGATTTCCAAATAACAGCCTGGGCCCATCTGTGTCAGCTCTGTTTTCTGAGATCGCTGACTCCAGACAGCTGCATGGGCTGCCTGCCCAACCCGAATGCCAGGGCCTCCCCTCTCTCTGCTTGTTCCCAAAGGAAGCCTTTTGATTCTGGCTTGGCCAGGCCCTGTCTGACCCAAAAGTCAGTTCTTAATGTGGTCTGTGGTGCAGGGTCACAACCAAGAATGGAAAAGTTTCACGCAGGAGCTAAGGGAGCCATCCCTCCCACTGCTGACCTTCATGCGGAGGTGACCTTAGGCCAG